ATCACTGATGTAACAGATAATAATAACATAATAGATAATAATACTCATTCCATTTCTTCATTTCTGCTGGGAGCCAAGTAGGTAGATTATTTCCCGATTTGTCATTAAAAACCCTCTTTTTCTTTTTCTTTCAGATGGTCACCACCTCTGGGAGACTGAGGCCAAGGTTGATAGAGACGCCTCAAAGTCTGTAAGTTATACATGTGACGCTGTTATCGTGACGAATCTGGTCTCATTTCAGGATTAAAGCACTGAAGCAGCTGTTCTCAATCATTTAACTAAGTGGCAAAACATTTTCAATCTTGACTTGTAAAAAACAAACTGATGTCTAAATCAAGTGAGCTGAGAGTCAACGGAGCTAGTACGGAGTTTGGATTAACACTACATTTGGACTTTTATTAAACCCTTTACTTTAAAGGGGCAGTTCACCCTAAATGCGAAAACAAACACACATTTATTTGTATATTTATCTCTAATAGTAGCCAAACATACAGATATATTTTAGACTGGAAACATCTGCTAGCCTGGCTCAGCCTGAGAATAACAAAATCCTCCTACAAGCCAGGCTGGCTGTTTCCCTGTTCTATTATCTTTGTGCTAAGCTAGGCTAATCAGCTGCTGGCTGTAGCTTGTCGAATGATGTCAATCTTCTTATCTAACTCTCAGCAATATAATATAATCACCTGAAAATTAGACTTTGCGTTTTCGTTACCCTAAAATGACTACAGAGGGAGCGGGGTCCTCTTCCACAGAGGCTGCCATGTTGAACCGCCATGTTTGTTACAGTAGGACAAACCAAACACTGGCTGTAGATGGGGGCGCTCACATGTTTTGAGAGTTTCATGGCCGCCGTAGTTTTCCCCTACAAGCTTGGAAGGCTGGGATGTGTTCAAATGGATGCAGTCTGCAACTTCAGATGCCATTAAATCCTACACACAAGGTGGTCTTCTCAAGCATATTAAGGGCACACACACACAAATGATGAACTATGATATGACTGCAGATTTCCTCGGCCCGGGGGCAGAAGCCCTCGGGGGGAAACAGCAGTGTTGTGTTTGAAACGTGTGGAAAAGGTTTTCAAAAGTTCAACCTTCAACCTGTGGGAGTTTGCACTTGGCATTGTGTCCTGTCTTGGCCTGTGACAGAGAGAGAGAGAGACAGAGAGACAGAGAGAGATGTAGTGGTGGGAGTCTGGGAGATAGACGAGGGGATTAGAGGGTGTCTATATGTGAGGCACCGCACCTGCTCCCAGTGTCTTCCTATTGCACAACATACACACTTTCTCTCTCTCTCTCTCTTTCACACACACTCACAGACAGTGACTGCTGGGACACATCTGTCTGCTTGAATAGACAAAGGGCCTCCCTCCCTTCCTCCCTCCCTCCCTCACTCCCCTCCTTTAGTTTTCACA